GTGCAGTCTTATGTCTCTTGCCCTTTGGCATTAGTATTCTGGTTATTTCCTTAGTAAGTTTTGTATGGACTTCTCCGCAACTTATTGCTTATTGCCAGCCTTGTATAAGCTCTAAACCCTCCATCTGTTTCTTTGATCAGCTTATCTTTGGTTATCACTATTGCTTCTGACAAGATTTCTCTCCTTAGTTCCATCAATTCTTCTCTCTTTTCTTCTTCTATACTTTGAAATCTGGGGTAGAGCTCTAGTTCATCTATCTCCCCTTTCCATATTCCACTCTTTCCATTTCCAACCACACTCAGTTCATTGTCAGTATCAACAATTTTCTCGTCTCTTTATTTTTTCCTTCCGTTTTTAGAACTCTGGCCTCCACTTTCTTCATTTGATGAACATCCTCAATTTTTCCATCAAATTTTACTGTTTTACAATCTACGTTCTCCAATTTTCTCTGTTACTTCTAATAATTTTTGAATTTCAAACATAATCTTTTGCAATGTTAAGGTTTCTTTTTCATGTTGCGCCATTCTTCCAATTTGTAAACACTGCCACTTTGGCATTCAAAACTTTTTATTAAATTTAAAGCAAATTCATTTATTATCTTTCAAGACAAGGCTTTGTTTTCACTCCACTCGAGCTGCCAATAAAGCTCCCGAAGAGCACCTGTATAAACAACCCATGCTCTTCTCACTATCAGTCTCTGTAAACAAACTGAAGAACCTTGAAATGCAAAGTCAAATGGTCAAAGAGAAAAAAGAAAAAACAATATTTCCAAGCCTTCAGCTTCCAAGTGGCGGTGTTCTTCCTTTCCCTCTGTTATTACAGCCCTCTTAGTATTCCTTTTATATCTTCTTTATATTCCAGACTTAAAGAAAACAAAATGCTTAAATGGAGCAAAAAAACCCCCATCCAATCCAGCATTATAAAAATAAGGAAAAAGATTTGCATCCATAGGTATAGAAAAAGGAATATAAAAAGTAGAAGAAAAACTAATCTATTCAATTTAAATAATTGCAAAAGTTCCATCTGTAAAAGAAATTTTTTTAAAAGGATAACACACTGTCTAATGTAGCTTAATTTCGCCTCTTGTTCTCTTCTGTTTTCAAATTTAATTTAGCTTTATTTTTTTTTGGGGGGGGGGAGTCTCTTTTATAATAATATGATTTCCTCACCAGATGGAATTTTCTCTTTCCGTTTTCCTCCCGTTCCGGAGCTGTCCCAACTTCAGCAGCTTTTGGCTGCGCTTTTGCCGCTAGCAAGAAAAGATTCTCTTGGATCAATCAGGGACTTTGTGATGTCCCTGAGATCAACAAGATGTACTCTTCCCTGCCACCATCTCTTCGGGACGGTTTAGGTGCAAAAGGACCGTCCAGCGGCAAAAGTATCAACTACGATCTTGGAGCTGCAAAATCGCACGTTGTGTCATCGTGACGTCAACGCCTCCTCTCGGTCTATCGAGCTATTCAATCATTCAGGTCATGGTTGTCCCAAAGATGCTTTTGCCAAAATACAACTAGATTTTCTTGGTTTTTTAAAAAACATTTTGATTCTCCTCCAAGAAGCTTCTTCAGTTGTAGCTTCAATTGATTCAGATTGGGTCAATCTGACTGTCAGATTTTCTTCATTCAAAAAGATGCCTTTTTTGCAATGATTTTACAGGATCAGAACTACATTATTAATTACAGGAATTTCTCACCCCATGATTGATAACAAGTATTCTTTTAATAACTGTTTACTTAAACTACTTCACTATGTTTCGTGGCATGTGTTTGTGTCATTGAAGAACTTGGTGCTTTCTGATCTCGGCAAAATAAAAATGGTATTACAGGAGTATTAAAAATAGTAAGTATCAGATAGCTGAAAATAAGACTTTATGCATTCTGTTGAGTGCAGTCTAGTTTACAAATATATATATTGCAATACTTAAGTGTCAAGCTATTTCCTTTGATAGGCTAGTCATATTTGAAAGAAGACAGTTTGGAAAACATTTTCTTTTAATTAGGATCTGCAACAAGTGAGTGGTGTGAAGTTGAGATTAATTGTATATAGTTTTAAAATTGTTTTAAAATCACCTTCATTCAGATCTATTATATGGTCCCCTCTTAATTTCTCAACACGACATTCCTATTTTCAATACATTTTCCATCCACAATTCATTAGAACCTTAATCAATTTAATAGAATAGAATAACAGTTGGAAGGGACCTTGAAGGTCTTCTAGTCCAACCCCCTGCTTCGGCAGGAAACCCTATACCATTTCACACAAATGGTTATCCAATCTCTTCTTAAAAACTTCCAGTGTTAGAGCATTTACAACTTCTGGAGGCAAGTTGTTCCACTGATTGATTGTTCTAACTATCAGGAAATTTCTCCTCAGTTGCTTCTCTCTTTGATTAGTTTCCACCCATTGCTTCTTGTCCTGCTTTCAGGTGCTTTGGAGAATAGCTTGACTCTCTTCTTTATGGCAGCCCCTGAGATATTGGAACACTGTTATGTCAATCATAGTCATACTTTTCATCAGACTTGATACGGGGGGGGGGGAGAGAAAAGGAAACAATGAATGTGAAAAAATAAATAAATGATAAAGTTATGAATCTTAGTTGTACTTGTGATATGGCATTAGGGAAAATATTTTTTTTCTTTTGGTTCATTTAATATATTTTGGCTTTTGCTTTCCAATGAATGAAAAATAAGTTTCTTTTCTAAAGGGAATCTCATGTAACATTTGTACAAATACAGCATTCAATTTTAGAAAGCAAAATTATCTAATTTAGGATTGTGTATTCTAAATTCTCCATTCTTGAATCCTGAAGATACAGGCATTTAAAAATGAGGATATTGAGAAATTCTATTTGCAAGAGAGATATAATTCATAAATGGGAATGCTATTTTATTCCAAAATTCCATCTGTTTTGATATAATTTGATTTGTTCCCAAAATCTTAATGTATATGTATGTAAAATACCATACTTTTATTGCACAAAGTGGGAAAAGGGTTTTAAAAAACCCAATTATTTACTAAGAAAAGAATCTCAGTTCCTATTCTTATTTTTACTTATTCATTGCTTTTAAAATAATACCAGAAAAGGACAAATCATAGATAATTATAATATAAATGCATACATTCTTAATGAAAAGGCACTGCATAAAAACTACTTTAAAAAAAGTTAAGATTCAATAGCAAAAGGAAAAATAAATAATAAAGTATAATCTCAGCAGCTACAATTTTTTCAAAGGCATTTGATGATAAAATTACAAGTTGATTTTGTTTTTATTCAAGTCTATTAAATCTACAACAAACCTAATGTCTAATACTTTTATTATGTCATAATAATTCTCATGCCTTAATATCATTGGATTGATTTGCTCTTTACATAGATGGAAACAATTAATAAAATGTTCAGTTTTATTCTGATACGCTATTTTCTATTTTACTCTTTAATTAGTTATTAAATTATGTTACCACAACATTACTATTCTCTGACCGAAGTGTTGATAACAACTTGATATCATGGAACAGAGTTATTCTACTACATGGTAACTATCAACTTTTTAATTAAAAAGTATGTAGCTAGAATACTTCAGTGTAATGCTTAACTTGTAGCATTTTGTAAAACTGAGAATGTTTCTCCTCAGTGCTTAAATAATTTGTAGAATAATCCTGTAATAAAATCCATATTATTTCTCTTATACTATACTACAATGAAAGATGAAGCAAAATATAATCACAATTTCTCCTTTGCACTGTGTTTTCATGTACCTAACTTCTTTGTGTGACTTGTCACTTGTGAGACTGCCATAATTCAGCAGCAAATGCTGCCAGTTGATGTGGCAGGAAACATGCTGAATTATGTTATTTAACAGTATTCTATATTTTGATTGTAGGTCCTCCTGGTACTGGTAAAACTTCCCTTTGCAGAGCAATGGCACAGAAATTGACTATTAGACTTTCACATAGGTAACTTTAAGTAATGTTTTCTATATTCAAAGTCAAAATAGCATCAAATTCACAAGCTAGCATTTCAATATTAATTTGCAAAGGTTGAATATTATTGTATATATACATGGTTCTTCTTTTAATCTGGAGTTTTCGCATTTGGACATCATACTATCCCTGTTATGCAACTGCTGCTTCCACAACAATGTAAACATCTTAATGAAAATGATAGTATTTATGTATTTCAGAGCACTATAAATGAAATACCATGAACTGTAATAACTCTGAAATTGTTAATTCCATAGATACTAGTTGTTTTTCCTTATTTAACAATAGTTATTTCAGGTTGACAAAGTTGACCCAGCTCAGCTTCATTTGTTTTACTTAATTCTCACATTAAAATGATAAATGGTCAACTTTGTTTTAATCATTGCTCTCTTCATAACTCTAAGACTCTTGAGGAAAGTATTATCTGGTGTAATGCTTTATAAAGTCCACAGGAATAATAATTTTTGTTTTAAGATTTACTTTTAATTGAACTTTTAGGTACAGCTATGGACAGTTGGTAGAGATAAATAGTCACAGCCTTTTCTCTAAGTGGTTCTCGGAGGTATGTATTTATATATGTATATATATATATATATTTGCAGATGTTGAAATCCCATTTGTGATTTCTGTGATATGTTCAATTGCTAAGGAATTTACACTCTTATCTTACTAGATTTTGATGTAAAAATAAATGATCATATCTCAGTATAATGAATCTGTGTAATGAATGGACAAGCCCTATTCATTCCAGAATCTGCCATACATTGGAAAAGTAGACAAGCTAAGTCAGTCCAGAAGGTTACTTTACACTCAATCAAACAAGGTTTCCATACTTTTGCTTTCCAAATAGGATATGCCTAAAAATGAGGAAGGTATGGGGGATAATCCATAATTTTCTTTTGGGGCTAACAAAAGCTTAGTTATTTTGGAATCCTAATCTCAAGAGAAGAGAAGGTTTTTTTGCTGGAGCAAAACCCCAAAAAGAGCCCCCTCCAGAAATAAAGGAGAAATATTGGTGGGGAGGAGGCAAGAGAGAGAAAATGGGTTTAAGGGAGATTCTGAGGCGAGAGCTCTTAAGTAAAACAAATGAAGATTGTTGTGTAATAAATCTTGATGGAAGAGTAGGGAAAGGCTGGAATGGAATTTGTTGTAAATTACTCTTTAATTGCAGAAATCTATTTGCTTTTTTTGTTTTGTTTTTTTAATTCCTTTCTTTCTTCCTTTATCTTTTATCTTTTAATTTTTAATCTATATGGTTTTAATATACTCTAGACTGTGTTTGATAAAAAGCGATGCCGGATATGGGATCT